AGTGGCCTGCCTTCAATGTCTGAGAGGCTAGATTAGTTACTTTCAAAGTCTCTCCCCATTGAGATACTGTGATCTGAAATGAAGGAGATGTCCAAAAAAGCTGGAAGGAGAGGGAAAATAGACACCTGTCTCAATCAACAGTACAGAAATTAGCTACAATTCCAGAAAAAGATAAATTGGACACAGCAAGAATTTGTCATCACTCATATTCTTATACTTTCCAATCTCATTTTTCCCCTGTGGAATAAAGGGAAAATTGGGGTCTTTACTCCAATTTTCCATATATATAGGCCAAAAGGCCTAAAAAAACCTAGGTTTCACAAAGTGCCACATGAGGATATGGAGTTGACGTAGTCAGTGCTGCATATAATCAGGTCAGGGACCCAAAGCACTTTACACCTCCCCTATCCATGCCCTGAAGAATAGGTCCAAGTCAAAGGAGCTCTTTGGTTACTCTGAAGTCTTATCTAATCAAAGGCAAAATGACACATTGAATCAGAAAATGGAAGTTACATGATTAGTAACTTAAAGATAGTGTAATTATTCTGGACAGTCTATAGAAGCATAAAATAAATTTTAACACCTGCCATTCATAAGATAAGATTCATCAAATCACTATTCCAGTTCCCAAGGAGCCATCAAACAAAAATTAAAGATCAAAATCTTAGATCAAATCTAAAATTAAAAAAATTAAATGTGCCTGTGCACTATTCTTGTGTTATTTCCAGTATTTCTTCTTCAAAACACTCAGCCTATCTGCATTTGTTTAAAATCTTTCTTCATTAGGAGCTCCAGGATGGAACAGATAGTGTCTTCCTGGTTCAGTTATAGCCCCTCAGAACTACAGATGGCAGAGGAATACCCCTACTTTGGCTGTTACCTAGAATTAATCCCTTCTTTCCACAGCTTTCATCCCTACTAGAGAAATTTGGTGGGTGGGAAAAAAGGAAACAGCCAGTAACTTATACTCTACTGCAAGACTCTGGTCACAACAAATATACCATGTAGGAAACATCCACCTGTAAGGTGAGGGTAGGTGCTCTTGAACTATTTTTTAAATTTATTTTTCTGAAGTACAGAAACCCTGGAAGGGAAGGGAAAGGAAGGGAGGGAAGGGAGGGGAAGGGAAAAGAAAAATCTCTGAGAGACCCCAATATATAACAGACAAAAACAGACTTCCTTTGACTGAAGCATGAGAGGGAACCCAGAGCCCTGCATCCTCAGCTACCTCCTAGGAACTATTATGATACTTGCTGCTGTTGTTCTAACATGTGTTTAGAGTCCTGCCCAATTCTGAAATGTAATGACTCCAATTTATCAATTTCAAGTTAACTATAAAAATCCACTAAAATGAGCCTAGCTCAACTACAGGTTTAAATTTATAGCTGGGTCAAATACAGCAATGAATGTTTTTCTTATCAGAATGCTAAGGTCAGAAAGCCAGAGTCTCAATCTTATCTTCCAGCCCTATCTCAATAAGGACTATGAATCATCTCCTATGAAAAATCAGATGGGAAAGGAAAACTGCCTCCCTGCACAGACAGTACAACTGAGGGTATGCTGTCAGTGAAACCACACAAAACTTGCATTGAGGAGGGCAACATCACTGGAACAAGATGAGAAGAATCACAGTTTGAATCTGGGTATGCTAGAAAAGGCAGCAAGGTAGATGTGGGTTCATCATACTTCCACTTCCTACTATTTTAAAGCACACGTTTTTGGCTTGTATTATTCGTTTTATGAGGGGGAGGTAATTAGGTTTCTTCATTGATTTCTGCTTAGAGAGGGTACTGGGGTTTGAATCCTTGACTTCTTGGGTGCTGAGCATGTGCTCTACCACTTCCCCCCTTCCCTCCACTTCTACCCCCCATCTCCCACTATTTTAAGCAACTCATTCAATCTGTCTTAATATCAGCTTTTTTCTTTCTTTCTTTTTTTAAACATGGAACGCTTCACAAATTTGCATGTCATCCTTGCGCAGGGCCATGCTAACCTTCCCTAAATGGTTCCCATTTTAGTGTATGTGCTGCCGAAGCGAGCACAGTACCAGCTTTTTTCATACAGCAAATAAGGATACCTAAGGACTTTTCCAGCTCTATAAGTCTATGATGCTAAACTAATACCATGTTTTTTTAAATACATGAGGTGTTTTAAAGCTATTATTTGGGATATCTCTTCGAACTTGAAAGGAGCTATCTTCAGCAATCACCATATGTGGCTCAAAACTAATACTCAACCAAAAAAGAAAACTTACCGAAATCATGAACTAGTTTTCTACTTAAGTCTTTATTTCACAATATTTATGTTTCACAGCCAGAGAGCAGCTGAACTATTTTTGAGCACTAAAGCCTTTAATCAAGTCAGGCATCATTAAAAACAATTCTCTTGGAGAAAGGAATTGCAAACGGAAGCAAAATTAATGTGATAACCATTCTTTCGGGGTGTTAGCTGGCTTGTTCCATGAATGCTATTTTCACACTCCAGCCCAGCGCTAACAAGGTCTGCAGTAAATGTCAAGAGTCACACACTGTCACATGCACAGCACCGTGTTGGATGCTGCCATCACCTGAACTTAAAGGAAAATATGAGGCTAGGAACTCTTTAAGTGGGAAAAAGTGGTGTGACCTAGACAACATACATTTTATTTCTCATCAAAGCTGGGGCACAATACTTTTAAGTCATGATCTCAAACAAAATACGCTTTAGAAACACATTTTTCAGTAAAACCTGTAAGATCCAACTAACTCTCCTCCTCTGCATCTGCTATCCAGAACACAGAAGAAAAATTTCAAACCCAGTAGTATCAGACTAGTCCAAATAAGTTCTAGCTCATTCTGTAGGTTAACACTCCCACTTAGACAGAGGGCAGCTCCCACTCCTTGGTGTATAAACATGACCCAAAGAAAACAAAATTTAGAGAAGATTTCACTTTATAAGAATACACTTTGCCCCTGTCTGTGCTAATCTATGCTCACATAACTTCAGCCTGTACTTATGAAAGTTAGCTACTTGCTTACATTCAAGTTACCGTATCCATAGGTTCTGAAAGATGAGACTTCACTGCCACTTCGGTACTAGCTCTTAAGCTGAACCACTAGCTCTGCATAATTCAGAAAGGAAGAAAGGAAGAGGGAGTTGGGAGGAAGGAGGAAGAGACAAAGCTGTGAATGCTAAAGACAAGAATAAACACAATGCAATGGTTGGCAAAAGGAGATGGGCTACCAAGGATAACAATTCACCACTAAAAGGCAAAAATGTATTCCTCAGCTTTCTTGCCTATAAACTGCATTGAACAAAGACCAAATAAATCTGTTCCTCCCTGGAATTAATACTTTTGGGTATGTACCCCTTCGTACCTATATGATTTACTGTTCCTCCTGAATTACTTGATGAATACAATCAATCAACAGTGAGAAACCCCATACCCCCTAAGTAAAAAAAATTTGTGTAAGAAAATTCCATTTAACTGTTTTGATAGAGACAACTTATTATACTTAAATCTGCAAGTGACCCCCCTCATTTTAGATAACGATAAATAAAAAGAAAGAAACAGATTAGAAAATAGATGAGAAAAACTACTTTAGGTTAATTCCTGTGAATTCAGGTGGTGTTATTAAAGTAGTCAAAGTATGTTTAGTAGATCAATCAGAACATTCAGTTATACATTTTAAGCTTACTCATTCCAAAATAGGTTTTCTACAAAAAAAGAGAAAACCCAACATTAAATGCCAAAATCAGTACTTAATGGTTCAACATCTATAACAACATCACAATGCTGGTGCTCGTATCAGCATTCCTACAAAGCTCTAAGAGGTCTGAAAGGGAGACCCTGTAGCAGATCTCTTCTTTCTACATTTTACACATTATGTACCTCCAAAGCCAAGGCTGTCTTGTCGTAGGCATTAGGGACTCGCTTCTGGATTACCCTGGCATAAATGGGCCCATTCTGGAGGTTAGGGAGCGGAGTGTTGACGCTGGGTTGGGCATAGGGCCCGGGCTCCGGCCCACCCAGTGGCTGTGGGTGGGAACCCTCCTGGTTACCTCCAATCAGAGCCGATACTGAGGCGGAGGCAGGTCTATACTTCTCGACGTAAGGGACTGGAATCATCCCCCTCTTGCCTTCGCTGTCCTCTGCATTCCACCACTGCTCTTCAGGCTTATCCCGGATTCTCAGGATGTCTCCTTTCTTAAAGGGAAGATCTTCTTCATCATTCCCATTAAAGTCAAAGAGGGCTCGTACATACTCTGCCTCCTCCTGCCTGAGAATCACGCCACTACCCTGCCTGGATCTGGAAACTGGTTCTATCAACGTTGTAGTGTCCAAATAGTGTATTTTGTAGAATTCCAGTAAAGCAGGCAATGAATCAAATTCTTGATCTCCTATTCGGAGTCTGGAGGGGCTCACCCCTGGAAAAAAACAGAGCAGGGTATTATTTAAAGATACATTATATTGGAGGTGGGTGGGGGTATAACTCAGTGGTAAAGTGCATGCTTAGCATGCGTGAGGTCCTGGGCTCAATTTCCAGTACTGCCATTTAAAAAAATTAAATCTCAAAAAAAAAAGATATATTATATGAAATGCAGATTTTATGCATTGCCCACACACATTTAGTCAATATTGAATCAGGATTAAAAAAGCTTGTTTAGAATAAATAACTCCTTTTCCTCGCAGTAAACTCAAATCATACTTTGCAGCTCAAACACTCCCTGGGAAGAAAGATGCTCATAACCACCAGCAGCAGAAAAGGAACAGAAGGCTATGAAAGACCAACTGCTCCAGTCAGGATCAGCTCCCATACTGGATCAAAGACAGAGCAACATGGAGACTTTCTGTGCATATTCCCAAACTATTGTTGCTATCCCATTCACAGAGTACAAAGGGTTCAAGGTTGTGTTGCAATCTTCCTTTCATTCTCAGGAAATGTAGCAAGCTCTCCTTTTTCACAGGTCCCAGCAGCTTTCCCAGGAAGAGGTGGGGAGAAATTGGTATCTATACTAGGTTCACACATTTGTCTCCTCATATCTAGAATATAAATTCCTAGTAAGAAAAAGGTTTTAGACTATCTTTTTTAATCTACAGTTACTGATCTCAATTTCATTTCTGACAGCTAAAAAAAGCTAAAAAGAGAAACTAAGAAGCTAACTGCTTAAAAACCAATTCCTAAGGTCTTCGCTTAAATAAAGCTTAGAAACTGGATTGTTCCCTTAGAAACAAACCAACCTTGAAAAAGGTATAGAAGGATACTCAGGAAAATATATACGTATTAAAACCCTCAATCTCTGAGGGTCCAAGAGAAAGGACATCTTAGAAAGGCTTAAAATTCTCATGACGCAAAGATGTGTGTGGTCCTAGACATGGCATATTTGAAAAATGTATTTTCCTTCTCCAATTTCTCTCTCTCCAATTATAGAATTGAAAAATGAATGTATTTCATTTCATATAAGAAACAAAGTTTCTAATGGGGAATACGACCTTTAACTTGTACTCTGCTAAGCACCCAAAATATAAAATCATCTTAATTGAATTTTTTTTACTATTTGGTTTCCTGATAAAGTAATGCATAGCTGTACAGAACTTTTATTTATTAATCAGCCTTAACTCTGCCACAGGACATTATCACTCACTTGAGCCATAACCTCCCAGATTTTTTTATATATTATACACGTATGTGTATGTATATACAGTATGTCATAAATACAATTTTTACAATTAGATTACTATAGCTTTATACTTTGCTTTTCTTATTATGTAATAAAACATTTTAGATAATAAAAATTGCCCTGTGTTCTTCGAGATGATTTTTTTTAATGAGGTATAGTCAGTTTACAATATGTCAAAGGAAGATGACTTTTAATGGCCATAAAATATTCCCAACTTTTCACTGTTGCAAATAATGTTCTTATGAGTATTTTTGTTTTGGTGTATTAATGAACATTTTTTATTATTTCCTTACAATAAATTCCTTGAAATGTGATTGCTGCTAACTAACCCTCCAAAAAGTTTGTACAATTTTACACACCCACAAGTGGTTTGAGGCCCCATTTCCTCATATTCTTGCCAAAATAGCATTTTGAAAATCAGTGCAACTCACTGCAAATTTAATGAGAAATATTATCTTTTCTTAAATATCATCTTTGATTGATGTTTTTCATGTTTATTGATTATCTGTACTTCTTTTGTGAAATAGTTGTTCAACTCCTTTGTTAAGGGAGAATGGCCAACCTACCCTCTCCACTCCTATTAACACCGGCCCACCCATCTAAAGCCATAGCTATTAATGCTGTGAAACAGGAACACTGTGGTAGCCCAGATGCCTAAATTACTTCGCCACTCTAAAACACATGAGACCTAATTGTTTTGTTCAATGTTAGAAAAGCACTTGTTCCAGAAAGACAAGAAAAAGTACTTTTAAAATTCTTTACCAGGGAGAGGTAAAAAAATAAACTCTGGAAGTCAATCAAAATTCCTCAATGCAGAATGAGTACTGATGAGTGCCTTCTCTTTTCACCCAAATGAAAGAAAACTGAGACACAATTTAGAGGACAGATGTACATTTCTTACATTGCAAAAGTCCATCTTTGGAATTCATGGCTGTAAACTAAAACAAGTTAATAGCCTACATTCAGTAATGTTGGCTGTCTCTCTAATGCAAGATGTTGAAATAGACAATCCTGGGTTTGGGCATCTATGGTAAACACACTCATTAGACACCAGCAGAATGCAGCCCCAATAGTTCCAAGTGCAAGACTGGAGAGCTGACTCTGGTTATGACCATACCAGAGCATGGCAGTGCTATATTCTGGAGTTTCTCTTCACTGAAGCGGATCACTGATGGGCAGTTATTCCTATTCAAGTCTGGTAAATAAGGAGATGCATGTCCACCTCACCTATCACCTGAAGACTAACTCAGAGATCCTTCAGGCCTATCAAACTATGTTAAGGACAGGGTCAGCATGAGCTCCAACGAGACCTACTTTGCACTGCCCAGTCAAGAAAGACTCCAGGGCAGAATGGTAGGGAGAACCTTCATACCAGCAGAGCACCCCTGGATTAGAAAATGATCCTGATGACACCTGGGAAGAAAAGCTCCCTTGCTAGCGTTTACCCAACTACATGTCAACAGCCAAAATGGTTTTCACTAGTCACCCAAGTTGGCAGACTATAATCGCTCAGTAAGTGTTAAATATTATTCTTAATGAACATAACTCTGAAGTGAGGAGAAGTTAAATGAAAATCTGTTCCCAGCTTTGGAAACTCAGTGTAGCTGAGGATATAAAGGCATACATAGTGTGGCTGGTGAGCAAGGAGCAAAGCATCATGTCTTAGAAGACATTATTTTTGACCCCTAGCTTTCACTTTCCACTGGAGATGTGTTCTTACAAAAAAACAAAAAAAACAGTAGCAGCAACAATGCTCTAAGATACAACAAAATAATGATAAAAGAGCAGCTCTTCCCATTCCTGAATGTTTCCAATGTACTCTTTTCCATCTAAGAAGGCAACCATTTCCTTTCATCTATTGTTATGGGTCCTCCAATTCCTGTACTACCGTAAGTGATGTGTTTTTTATTGGGGGGGGGAGGTGGGAGACGGGGTTTTGAAGAACAAATACCACTAAGCCAAGTCCATTAGAAAGATCAGTGCGAGAAACCTGAAAAGAAAAACTGTCAGCTCACGTGCCAGAAAGGTAGGAAGTTGGTTCAATTCATTTCTTGTTCAAATACTTTACAATGTGAACTGGATCCACTATGTTTTTTTGCTTTTTGCTTGGCAATCCAGACAGACACATAAATACACAGGAAACACCAAGAGAAAATCTACTTTACCTACAATTCTTTTTCTATTCTAATAGCACTATAATTATTTAATAGAGGAATACTTATTTTTTGTGTACTGCTGCAGCAGTCAGAGTTAGATACATGGGGCAATCAAGCTTCATTGATCCAGAAGGGAAGGGAGGGGAACAGAACACCCGTAAGTCCCAGATAAGCCCAAACCTCACCACAGCTATGTATGTCCAGCTTCTTTTCCCTAGTTCATCTCCTTCCAACCACAAACAGCCAAAGGCAGGAAATAGAAGGGCGGGAAAGGAGATACAGTCAGTCAGTCTAGAGAAGAGAACCAATGACAGAGTTCTCATAGCTGGGACTTGGAAAACCTCACTGACTGTTCTACATCAAACCTGTGCTGGATTCTTAATGTGGTTATGAACAGTCAGAATCAGTGCAGTCAGATGTATCTGTACAAGCTCAACTCACTACTTCAAAGCATTCTGTCCCTCAGATTACGTCAGTTTTTACACCACTCCCTGAGGGTTTTATGAAGAGCACCCAAGAGCTCTGTGCGCTAAACAGGCCAGGTCATTTCTCTCATGGGTACCACCTCAGTGGCTCCATCATTAGCCTCTCCTTAATCTCACAGCACTTCCTTTTTCTCCCTTTCCTCTTTCCTCAATTCCCATTCCCTCTTCTGCCTATGGTCTTTTTTTAAATAAAGTAATTTTATTATTCACCTTTCATATTTCATTATATCCTTTTTAAAATTTGTTTTGTAGGGGGAGGTAATTAGGCTTATTATTTATTTTTCTTTTTTAGTGGAGATAATGGGGATTGAACCCAGGACCTCATGTATGCTAAGCATGCACTCTACCACTTGAGCTATACCCTACCCCCTCGTGCCTATGGTCTTTATAGAGGTTACATAAACACACTCACCATCTCTCCAATACAAAGGGCTAAAAAGGCCAATGACTTCCATTTGAGAAGGCACCCAAAGAGGTATTAAGATGTATGGTCTCCTAAGCAAACAGAACTTTCTAAAAATGGGGGATAGCAGTTTGACTAAGTTTGATGAACTTTGGCTCTGCTACTTACTAGCTATATGAGCTGTTATTTAACTTCTTACGGGGACTATTATCTATCTAATAAAGTTCCTGAAAGTAGCTGGTATATTATAAATGCCCAGTGAAAAAGCAATTAAGCTTAATACACACCCCAAACCTCCAAATTCCATTAGAAATCTTCTATTCATCCCTAAATCCAGAGTCTGCTGTTCTGTTTCCCAGAGAAGATTCCATAGAATCTCAAGACGCTTCTCAAAAAGTTCTGTGGTCAAATTGGTTTGAAATACCCAGTATCCAATACTTGCCTCTCTTAGGGAATCATAGTTTCACATGAGCATAGTAATAGCTTGGAAAGTTAGCCATAAATAAACCCAATTCCTTTCACAATGGATTTTGGGGGGGGGGTGCTAAAACCTTTAAGTAACTCACCAGAACCAGTGGATGGAGAACTATTTTGATATTAAAGAGTAAAACATGTGGACCAGGTTTAAGAACTACAAAGACGAGGTAAACAAATGAAACAGATGCTGAAGGTACAAAAAGGTGGCAGCAGGTAATCAGCAGTCCCCTAGGATCTCTAGAGGTGGCTTGGCCCAGCAACACCTTGAAGAAGCAGCACAAATAATTATTACCCTAGCTTCTGCCCCCACACCCAAAATGAGGCAAGCTTTTATGCTCCCCTCACCCACTAGGGCAACAGGTGGGAGGCTCTGGGTTGAGCAGGTAACAGCAGGTGCCATCCTATTCCCATGTACTGACTCCAAGGTTCTTTCACACATCTTGATGCACCCCTACCCGCTCCACCCCAGCACTTACTCCTTCAGATGTCCTGTGAGCCTCTCAAAGCTGAGAACAGTTTTCCATTTTGCTTCAACTTTTCCCCTTCAACCAGAGACTGATATATCTAACGCTTATTGAGTACTTACTATATACCAGCCCCATTCTTAAGCATTTAATATACTAAAGCTCTTTTAATCCTCACAACTACCCTGTAAGGTCAGTATCACTAATTCTCCTCTTTCACAGATGAGGAAACTGAGGCAGAGAGAAATTAAAGAACTTGCCCAAAGTTACATAAGTAGTAAGAGGTAGGGAAGGAAGGTTCAAATCCAGGCTTCAGAGTGCAAGCTTGTAACTACTCTCTCAATTCATACTTAGTTTTGTTGACTGTCTACCGGACAAGATCTAATAAAACCTAATGTTCCAAGAGGAAGAAATTAGTGGATCAATGATTGCAAGGCCTTCCCAAGAGGTATACCTGACAGAGTATGACCATAAAACTTGACTAAGCCCTGCCCTATGGCTCTGGGCACAGTTAGGACAATCCCAGGCTATGACATCATTAGTAGCCTGTGGGAGTGAAACACTTAAGTTAAAAAACAGGGTCACTGGAAAAGGTTGAGAATACCTGGTCTATTCTGCCCCTATGCCTCTAAAATCTGTATCTAAGTCATACAAATTCAACCTATGCATTATGTTCACAAAATACACTATATAATTCTAAGCAAAAAGCTCATTCCCATATTCAGTTTGCCAAATAAGGTTATTAAAGCCTCTTCATGACTGACTTTGAGCGGCAGATGTGTACTGTCTGAATATTAAAGCCAGGTTCTTCTTGTTATCCTTTCCTTTTAATCTTTAAACAGAATCTGAGACCCAGGACAGAGACAAAAGTGTTGAGTCCTCAAAGTGCACAGCTGGGATCTCAAAAGAAAACTGGCTTTGACAGAAAGGAGTACGGTGTAATAGTGACAGCTCTCAGGTCACAATTCGTAGGTTCAAATTCTGGCTCAGTCATTTACTAGCTGTGTGACCTTGGGCAAGTTACTTTCAGTTTCCTCATTTATAAGGTAGAAATATTTTAATAAATGGAGATCACAGTAATTTCTTCACTAGACTGTTACAGACAGTAAGTGAGCCAAGGCACATGAAGTACCTGGCATGGAATAACCAATCAATAAATGTTAGCTATTAATATTGTATATGCCTTTCTAAAATCCAAGAAATTCTATTGTGTGGTTTCAAAAGAAAAAGAGCTTGACAGAGGAGAGGGAGAACAAAGATTAAGTAATCCTTACAAAAACAGCAACTGAATCAATTTTCCTATGTGGAAAATAGGGTACATGGCAGAAAGAATTACCATGCCCATGAACTTTCCACACCCCATGCACAAACTCTGGCAATCTGCACTTTCTCTCTTGGGCCAAGGATCTGAACTCATATCTGTTATGAAAAGGTGGAGCTCCATATTAATGTAAGAGCTGAGATTAAGCTGTAACGCCAAGATGTGGGGAAAGTTCAAATAAAAATGCCTGCCACCATTTCCAAATTTTGCAACCAACAAAACACATACACAAACAAAAGGTTGAAAATTGAGTTTCAGTGACTGACTGCCATCATGCCACTGCACAGTAATGCAAAACTCTAGACACTATGAAGGTGGTGAAAAATAGAACATACTCGGTTTAGGGTAAATACATGTTACATAAATGTTCCAGTCTCATGTTATAACCCTATTTAACCAACCAGACTGAGAAAGACCTAGGATAATTTGTGGGCTTAAAGATTTCATATTCTTTTAAAAATTGGAATGTGTTAACAACAAAGACACTATTCCATCTCCCTATTTCTGGCCAGAGTGAATAAATCTAAATTAGGACTATCCTAAAAGGCCAAATCTGCAAAGGCTGGTTCAGGAGCCTCCTAATTCACGTGAGACTGACCTGGATCTAGTCTCAGCTGGTCAGGAGGAAACTGCTTCAACTCGGGAACAGTGAGAAGGCACTAAGACTCTTGGTGCTGTTCACAGATAATGGTAACCTCAGAATTACTCTGTACCTCACAAATCTCAGGTACCAAGTGCATAAATTTCTTCAACACTCCCCAGACAACTCCAATGGCATGGGTAAGACAGTCATATCTCCATCTTTGGCCAGGAAGATCCAGTGCAGATAATTTAAATTCTCAGAGACTCAGTTCAGCCAGGTCTGTTCCCAACATTTTGGAAGACTCAGGCCACAGTCCCCCACTTACTGAGCAAGGAGAGGCCCTGAAATACAAAACTGACAATGTTTTAAGTCCAAGGGAAAATGGAGTTCCGTTCACTTTCAGGGGAAGGATTGTTTCCATTGGCTTATTTCTAGTTTATTTCCTGAAAAAAAAATCTTTCCTCCACTAATCGCTTTGAAAACTAGAACTCCATAATTGTGGAGGGCAGTCTCTGGACACTAACATCTCTTGGACAGTCCGCCAAGCATCAGTTTATTCTAGGCTGGTCACAGAGGCCTTTCTTCTATAACCAAGGCACTTAGCTCACCACCTTCGTCCTGCGTGGGGGAAGAGGACGGTAAAAGTATTTTGGAAAAATGCCCAAGAAAGGAAAAAGCTGACCGATTTCCTGAGGGTGTCTCCATCCCTCCCGGCTAGTATGTGGTGACTTCCTACCAAAGGCCACCAGGGGAGTATGGCCAAACCCTGCTCTCCAACACTGCAGGAAATGTTTAAAGCCTAAAAAGCCACTTGTAGGATTATAGGATTCATTCCGGGCAACGCTGCCAAGTGATGCCCCCGCAGTGCCAACAGCCCCCTCAGCTCTTTGTCCCCACGTTGCCCGGCCCTGCTCAGGCACTAGCCCCACCCTGGGGCCGAAGCAGTTCCCCTTCCCCTGGGCTGTCCTCCCAAGTCACACCCAGAGGCCTGGGTCAGCGGCTCCTCCTCCCCCACACACTCCCGCTCATCCGTGGGAGCGAATTCCCTGCTCCCCAGCCACGGTCACTCCAGCCCTCTGCCCACGTCCCTCGTGGAGGTCAGCTCTCGAAGAGCAGCCGGCCAAGCTGGGGAGTTCCGCGGCCCTCACCCCCGCCCGGGGCCTCCCGTCCCGTCCGTCCCTCACCGGGCGGAGGCTGGGCGGGCGACGGTGGCACTGGCGGGCGCGGGCCGCTGCTGTTGATGATGTAGTGGGAGACGCGCGAGTTCTCGGAGACGCTGAGCACATAGTCCCCGGGGCTGGTGCTCGAGTCCCGCACCAGGAACACCCCGTGCCGCTGGCCCTGCAACAGCGCCACCGCCTCCTGCCGGCTCAGCCGCCCCCAGTACCAGCTACTCCGCTCCTCCGAGTCGAAGTTGCCCGCCATGGCCGCCTCCGCGCCTACACGCTGGGCCGCCGCCGCCGCCGCCGCGCGCGCCCCTCCAACCCCGGCGCCCGCCGCCCAGCGGACCGGCTCGGGTCTCAGCCTCACAGCAGCACCCGAAATGGCGGCGGCGGCCGCGGGCCTTCCCCACCGGAAATGACGCTCTCCCTCTCCCCGAGAGAATGCCGGGAAGGGGACCGCTGCCCGCCATTGGGAGAAGGGCAAGGGACAGCTCGCCCGTTCACTGCGCATGCGACCTCATGGGCGTCGCCGCCTGGCGGGGACCGGGACTGCAGAAGGTGCAGAGGCGGAGTCTACGGCTGAGGGGCGGGGCCTCAGCTATCTGTCCGCAGAGGTTTGTATCTGCGCTTTTGGCCGCGCGCCATTCTACGCTCCTCCAGGCTTCAGGTTCCTGTAAGAGCCAGGGCTTCTAGGCAGCGATTAGGAGACAGAACTGGCGTAGAAAAAGGTCATATGGCCCCACAGCCTGAGTTCCCTGAGACGGTCTTTTTCTGATGGTTCCTCCAGCTTCTCCCCAGGCCTGCTAAAGTTCTTGTTTTCATTGATTCATTCAGCAAACATTTGACACCACACTTACACTGCGGGTGCAAAGGTCTTCAAGGCTGGGCCCATCCCTCACCGAATTCTCAGACCAGTGGGAGGAACCAGGAAACAGTCAATGACGAAGGAATGCTAAGTGGTATGATGGGGAAGGGACAAGGGGCTCTAGGAACTCAGAACAGGCCCCCTAATTCACTGTAGAGGGATCCAAGAGGGCTTCCCAGAGGAGGTGGCTTGAGCTGAATATCAAATAGCAAGTGGGGGAAGAGCATTCAAGATGAAGGGAACAGAGTGTGCCAAGCCAGTTGGAAGTATGGAGATCTCTCTGTTGAGGCTCTCAAGTTATCTTCCCAGATTCTCTAAACCCTAATTGTAGCTTTGGGTTACCCTCTACTCTCCCTGCCATCACAATCATTTTTATCTTTATATTCCATATCTATATCTGTATTCCTGTGACAGCCTGCACACAGTGTTCTATAGTCTTGCTGCCCCTAATTGCACAACACACATCTGCCAGTTTGCGCTTTCCAAATTATAGCTCTGAATCTGCTGCTACCCTGTATAAAACTTTTAACAGTCTCCAGGTGTTAGAACTCCCAGTTTATCTCACACTATAAAACTGGGCCACAGTCTCATCTTCATTGTTCCTACACGAATCTTGTGTTTCTCCTTCCTGGGATCTTTTTGGGGTCTCAAACTCAAATGCCTCCCCTTTCCTGACATCACAGCACTCCCTCTCTTCATCTATAGCACTATGTCCATATTATCTCCATTACAGTTCTTACCCGTTGTACTGTAATCTTTCATTTACATGTCTGTCTGCTCCATGCTAGATCTCCTCAAAAGCCAGGCATCTAGTGTAGGAGGCATGCCATAAACATTTCATAATGATGGCTAACATTTATTCAGGGACTACTACCTTCCAGGCATAGGACTAACTGCCCTTATAAGGATCATTTCATGTAATCGTCTCAACAACCTTATGGGCTGATATTTTACAATGATTCTCACTTTACAGATGAAGCTCAGAGAGGTTAGGTAACTTGTCCAGTGACACATAGCTATTGAGTTGGAAGCTGGGTTTCAACTCCTAGAAGAAGAGAGCTGTGGTCACTCTGCTGTATCCCCAGACTTCTGGGATAGGACTAGCAGGCAGATAGGGAGTAGGGGAAGACTGCAGAAATAGACATTTAAAGAAAATCAGTCAGCCCTGGGTTTTACAGTCTTCCATGAATAACACATCTCTTCCGTACCCACTTCACACATCCCTGGGCCTGCTCTGGGAAGGGGTGGGGAGCAAGGGCACCTTCCCTGCTGTGAGTGACTCATCATGACCCTGGCTTAGTCACAGCATGTCACCACAAGCCAGCAATAGAAGCCAGCCCAGGATGAATTCTGGTCCTTTGGGAAAGAGAAGCGCCTGCTCTTCATTTCCCCAGGATGCCTGGGCTTCAAGGTCAGACCTTACCAGGGACTGCCTGTGGGGCTCTGAAGCTGTGCCTCTAAGTCCCCTCTCTAGGGCACATGGACATTCCTTAAAAGAAGAAAAGGAAAGGAAGGAAGGAGGGAAGGAAGAAAGGGAGGAAGGGAAGAATAAAAGAAAAGGAAAGAAAAGAAGAAAGAAAGAGGGGAGGGAGGGGAGAACAAGTCATAGCTGAGCTGGAAAATAAGGAAGGAGACTGGTGAGGAGGGGATACTCAGCACCAAGCAGCTACTCAATGGTGTTCTTCCTTGGAGCACAGAGGACCTACAAATTCAGAGGTCAACAAGCTTGGAACAGGAATGACCTCAGGACAAGAAGAAAGCAGCCCCCCCCCTCTTCCTTTCTCTTCTCCTCCTCTCCCCTTCGTACATCTTACATTACAGCTCTAATGGTAGCTTTTGCCCCTGATAAGCCTGACATCTGCTCTACAAGAATGTAAAGCATGTGACCTTTTAGTTTAGGAAGATGCTCCTGGATATGCCTGAAGGAGAAGCAAAGATGAAAGAGGAAAAGAAAAGGAAGGCTGCCCAGTTCAAAAGAAAAACATGTCAGAGTCATCCATCCCATTCCCTCTAGCCAAAGAACGGCATTCTTTGTTGTAGCAGTGGACCAGGAGCACGGATTCAGGGACCTTTTTGCCTGCCTGCTCTGTGTCTCTTAAAGTGATGAGAGTTGCTTCATACGGCTGTGCATGTTGTGCACTGCACAACTCCAGGGTCCTATGTAAATGGAACCCTCTAGAGTTGGGCTACTTACACTCACTTTTCCTTAAAAAAAAAAAAGGAAGACAAAAATTGCTATTTAGAGAGAAAACTGACAGTATCACCTTCCAAAGTGTGCATGAGAGAGAAAGAGAAAAGGTGATGGGTGTATAGGCACCATTTGTGTTAGTAGGAAAATACAGTTCTGCCCAGTTCTCATCCATGTATGGAAATGAGGAAAGAGAGAGGAGACAGAGAAATTTCCAGATTTCTGTTGGAGTTTCTGGATGATGAAGAAGAGAGATGCCCCATCCCCCAGTGGGTAGTCCTTAGTTTTCTAGAAACAATGACCTGTCTTAAGATGTGATGGGGGTGGGGGTATAGCTCAGTTGGTGCTGAGCATGCACAAGGTACTTGGTTCAATTCCCAGTACCTCCATAGGAAAAAAAAAGGTGGCGGGGGACAGGTGCGGTCTGGAAGCAGACACTAGGGGAGAGCTCTGGGGAGAAATGTGAGGGAACTGCAAGGAGGGAGGAAGGGAGGAGAGCATGCTGGGAACCAAGGCAGAGGTGGGACCTTGCCAGAAAGGTCAGGGAGATGTTCCCAGGGGCAACATGCTGCAAGGCTTTTGAGAATCAGTCATCTGCTTTGCTGCAATGTAAATCCTCATTGCCCCCATCCCTTAGAAAAGATGCTCCCACAGATGCCTTCTGCAGGGAGGAATCAAGGAGAAGGTGCCAACTTCTTTGTCTCTGTCCTCATGGAGCTAAGGAAAATCGAGAACATGTGAAGGAGGTGAATGCAGATGTACCTGTCTTCTCACCTCTTCTCCTCCGCCCCACCCGTTTCCAGCCCCACTGACCTTCTTCCTCTTCCTCCAAGCCCCATGCTTTGCATTTGTTGTGCCCTCTGCCTAGATATCCACTGTTACTCCTCACCTCCTTCCAGTCCCTGCTCCAATGTTGCATCTTCAGGGAGACAATCCCTCACCAGCCCATCTGATGCTGCAAACCTCGTATTCAACTCTCCTGCTCCCCTTCTCTGCTGGGTTTTCCTTGCACTTCTCTCCTTCTAAAATATATTTCATATATTTGTTTTATGTATGGTCCTCTCTTCCCCTCTAGAGCATAAACTCCATTCAAGCAAGGATTTTGGTCCTTTTGTTCCTGCTGTATCCCAAGTGCCTGTCAGAGAGCCTGACTTAGCAGCACTGAGTATTGGTTGAATGATGGAATGAACAAATGCAGCGTCCAATCGGGGCTCCATTCCAGGGCCAAAATGAGCTTCTTGCGATGGGAGAGCCTTGGACATCCCATAGGATGTGAGCTGGAAGCGCAAACCATTCTTGGTTACCTCTCAAAAGGACAGTTCCTCGGGCTGCATCTGGGCTATATCTGTGACATCATTGTCACATGCACTGCACTGCACTAGAGAAATGCATGTTGTTACAGTTGTAAAGCTGGTAATTGCACCTATCCTGGCAATGCTTATCTTATCTGTCAGCTACTTGGTGTCAGCTTCTTGGAACAGAGGTTACTGCTGATACCGTGGACAAATTATTGTGGTGCTTTCATTTTCCTGTAACTTAATTTGTGAGGAGGTGTCAGAATCTAGGGGTGTTCACAGGATGGTGTCAAACCCAAGATAGTCATATATTAGGCGGTATCTGTTCTTGGGGAACTTCTGTCCTAGGTGACGAATCTAAACCGCTCAGCAGTTAGCCTGACTCCAGTCTAAACCTTTCCTTGCTTTTAAGCCCTGCACATGCCAATTTCTTCTACCCACAACCACCTTCCCGCTTGGGAAAACTACTGAGGGGCTCTGTGGTTGCAGCTTACGATACTCATTCCCTTTCTTCTGGAGGCAGCACTCTGATCTCCCGGGATGTCATCTGTCCCCACTCGGTCCTTGCAGTCCTGTCTGGGGGCAGCAGTCACATGAGCCAGGCCCAGGAGACCCATATTGGAATATGCTCAACTCCATAACGATGATGGTTGGGTTGGGGAGGAGCACCTCTTTCAAGTGGGTCCACTGAGAATCAGCTCTTCAACTACTGGACAAGAGGCACCTTCTCCTTCTGCTTCCAATGCTGAGTTACAGAACACAAGCTTGGAGCCGCTGGTGGCTGCTGCTGCCACCACACCACGAGGGGAGAACCTGCTTGAGGACGAAGCTACCACCCAAGAAGGCTGAGCCAAGAGATGTTTCCAGACACATTCCTGACAGTGTTGTGTGAGGGCCTGGAAGCAGCCCTACCCCGGACCTGTTAGGCTGCTAACGCCAATAAATACCGCTTCCTGCCCCAGCCAGTTTGAACTGGGTTTGTCACTTGCAACAGGTATGGAGACCATCCTTTGAGACCCACCTCAGATGTCATCTTCTCTGTGAAGTGTTTGCAATCCCTCACACCCACGTGTCTC